CCCCGCGCCCCCTGCCATCCCGTGCCTCCCCCCCCCCCCACCAGCCTCCTGCACAACAAGAAACAGCTGATCGGGAGGTGCGGGGAGGGAGGGGGAGGTGATGATTGGCAGGGCTGCCAGTGGGCGGGAGGCACTGGGAGCGGGGGGGGAGCTGATGGGGGGCTGCTGACGTATTACTGTGGCTCTTTGGCAATGTACATTGGTAAATTCTGGCTCCTTCTCAGGCTCAGGTTGGCCACCCCTGCTCCAACCCATCAGCCCATAGCCTTGAATCTTTCCAGAGAAAAACATCCCTGCACTTGCATGACAAATACATTAGTGATGGTATTTTTTTAAAACAAACAATAACAACAAACAGGGCACTTGGTGCCATGTAGCAATGTTTTCATTTGGCATTAAAAATGCATTGAATGAGTCTAGTTTAAGATCTTTATTTTTAAACTTTGGGGAAAAAAATAAAAGACAGAAGAAGAGGGGTGGGGGCAGAAATCTGTACCATGCTCTGGGTTATCAGTAGGCTCAACAGGATTTTTAACTTATTTCAGTTTCTATGAATATTGTTGGAAAGGCCTCGCTTGTGTTTGTGTGAGTGTGTATAGATCACTGCCCTTTCATGGCCAGAGCTGCTCTTGACAGAGGAGTTTCTGGGATAAATTCATCAATGTTTGTGAGACAGTTGGATCCTACAGTGATCGATGCCTTAAGAAAGCCTATAAATTATTTAAATCAAGAAAACGGGGTCTCATAAGCCCTGCTAAGTTACTGCTCATAGCTAAGGAAGTTTCTTCATCAGCTAAAGTGGCCTGTACTCTTGAAGCGGGAGCTCTGTCTCTGACTCTCAAGTGGCAATGGATTAGAGCAGGGGTAGGCAAACTTTTTGGCCCGAGGGCCATATCTGGTTATGGAAATTGTATGGCGGGCCATGAATGCTCACGAAATTGGACATTAGGGTGCGGAAGGTGGTGAGGGCTCCAGCTGGGGGTGTGGGCTCTGGGATGGGGCCAGAAATGAAGAGTTCAGGGTGCAGGAGGGGGGTCTGGTCTGGGGCAAAGGGTTGGGGGAGGGGCTCCAGCTGGGAGCGCAGGCTCCGGGCTGGGGATGAGAGATTTGGGGTACAGGAGGGTGCTCTGGGCTGGGACCGAGGGGTTTAGAGGGCAGCCGGGGAATCAGGGCTGGGGGTTGGGGTACTGGAGGGGGTCAGGGGTGCAGGCTCTTACCTCAAGGGGGCTCTTACCTCAAGCAGCTCCTGGAAACAGCAGCATATCCCCCGTCCGACACCTATGCGGAGTGTGGCCAGGCGGCTCTGCGTGCTGCCCTATCCATAGGCGCCGCCCCTCAGCTCCCATTGGCTGCAGTTCTGGGCCAATGGGAGCTGCAGAGGCAGTGCTTGGGGCGGGGGCAACATGCGGAGCCCCTGACTTCCTCTATGCGTAGGAGCTGGAGGAGGGACATGCTGCTGCTTCCAGCAGCTGTGCGGAGCCACGGCACCGTGGAGCAGGGCAAGCCCTGGACCCCGCTCCCCAGCGGAAGCTTGAGGGCCGGATTAAAATGTCTGAAGGGCCAGATGTGGCCCCAGGGCCATAGTTTGCCCATCCCTCGGTTAGAGCACAGTGACAGGTGTAATTGGGCAGCAATGGATTTGTTATCGGTTCAGCATTGATTTTTTAATCAATTTTTTTCCAAAATAAAATCTTTTAAACAGACATCCCCAGCTTCTATTTCTATTGCCATGCAGCTGAACAAGCAGGCTTCTGCTTCTGTGCTGCCAGAGAAATTCAGTGGCCTGAGAACTCCTGCTTCTAGGTACCATTGTACAACCACTAACAGCAAAGG